TTTTCGTAAATTAAAGTAAATTAAAAACTAAATTTATGAAAAATGAAAAAAAAAAAAAATTAATAAATACGACTAGCAAACATATATAATCTTTTAAAAATAAATTTTATCAAGCCGCAAAAGTATGAAAAATTAGTTTTATTGTCGTCTTTTAATATTGTGTAAAAATCTATTCAATAAATATCAAATTTAAGCCTGAGACAAAACATTTGGCCAAGAAGCATTATTACGTTAAGTTGGCATACCAAAAGTGCGAAGCACATTAATAAAAGTCAATTTTACCCTTTTCGAAGTTAACGAAACAAAGTACTCTCCCCCTTCTACACCGTCAAAACAAATAATTATTAACAGACCAACGCGCTGAAAAGAAACCGGACTATTTGTAAATGCCGGACGTTGAGAATTTGGTGTCCAGTTTCAGTGGACAACGCTGCGGCTACGTGATGCCGGAAGTCGGAAATGAATGTAATTCTAACTTATTGTTGTTGTTGTTGCTTGTGGTGTTGTTGTTGCTCAGCACGCAAATTGCCTCAGCCTGAATTGTTATGGCATTGTCTGTGTTATGCTCCGCCAGCGGGCGCGACAAAGTTTCAACTTCTGTTTTTTATTTAAATATTTTTGACATTCCTTTTTGTGTGCCTTTCGTCGTAATCGTTTTTCCCCTAGCGGCAAGTCTGCACGATGTTTATATTAAGTTAGTTTAAAGCTAATTTTTATCGTTTGTTCACTTGAATCTTGTGCGTGTGGCAGTCAAAAATGCAAAGCCTTTGCCTGAGCATTGATTGATCGGCGAGCCCAAAAGGAAAATATTCAATTGAAAGTGTCCTTTGGGAACAAGGACAACAATCAGTTGCCCCAGCAGCCAAACGCCTGGGCCTCTGGGCACTGGATTAGCTACAATCTGTTTGTCACATTTTATGAAAAGACCAACAACAGCAACAACAACAACAAAAAAGTATGTGTTGTGGGTAAGGAATGAAAGAACGAAGATAAACATGTGTGTCAATAAGTATGCGAAATTGATAAAGTGAAAAAAAAAACTACAGCTTGGGAGGAGATCAAATAGATGTATGAATTTTGTTTAGTATCTATAAAAAAAAAGAGAAATGAATATTTGCATGATTTCGTTTAGTATATATTTCCAGGTTTGACCTTGAAAATACCACAATTTTGTATGCTAAATAAATTTAAATTTGACGTTCTTATTGGATAAAAGTTTATTCAATTACACTTCAATATTTCATATGTACAGCGCTTTTTTGTTTTATTTTATAAACAGTTGTTTATAAGTTAAATAAGTAAAACAAAATTTTGACAATATATATAAATTGTTATTAAATTAAATAAAATATGTATAAAGAATATTAAATTTCTAAAAACAACCATTTGCTTCTAATGCTATAATAATATAATCTAATATTATTATTTTAGCTCCATACATATTTCCAAGTAGTTCCTAAATATTCTGTTTTCTACGAATTAGGAAA